CCAAGTACTTACCAGGTCTTATCCTGTTTAGCTTTCTAAAATCACCCTACTGAAATAAATACCAAATTAAACTGCCCAATAATTTACCTACCATCACTATCTTGCACCTGATTTCAATGTAAACAGCCAATCTGAGTATTACTAAATTTTGCTAGGCATCTGCTGCATGTTATTCTCTCTTCCTTGATCATCTAGTCCAGAGGTCCCAAACTTGGCAATTTTAAGACTTGTGGACTTCAACTCCCAGAAGGAGAATTGAAGGGAGTTGAAGTCCACAAGTCTTAAAGTTGCCAAGTTTGGGGACCCCAATCTAGTCTTAGATGGGCAGTCTGGAATCACTGGCAAGAGCAGCTCAGTGCAGAGAAAAGTTGTCATCTCCCCATATTCCTTTCTCTGTGAGTGCCTCATCCTTTCCTCCTCATTTGTGAAGCACACTAAGTTTAAAGGTGCTGCAGGAGGCTGCTTTCAGAGAGAGGAATATGGGGAAACACGTGACTTTTCTCCATAACAAGAGGGATGTTCTCTCTCTCTCACCTCCACTCTTGGCACAGAAAAAAAGTCAGTGGGAGCAGCAGTTGAGGCAGTCGATCACCCATCCCAGGGCTCACGCTCACTATACCTGCAGGGGGTGGGGGATGCAGCAGCAGCGAGGTGGCAATGGCGATTCCAGTGGCATCCCGGCTTCTGGGACCAGTCCCCCCTGCCATCCATGTGATACACATGGTGCATCGGGGCTTCCAGGCTCTTCTCCCCGCAGCTACCATCAGCTGTTCTGGACTCAATCAAAGGGCACAGCAGAAAGCTTCCAAGTCCCCCTCCCATTGGAAACAGCTCCTGGGCAAGCAAAGAGAAGCAGGATTCAACCTAGCTTGCTTCTCTGCTTGCCTGGGAGACATTTCTAATGGGAGGGAGACTTGGAAGCTTTCCACTGTGCTGGAAAACTCTTGCTCGCCCAGCAACAGCAGCAGGTGAGAGAAACAGCCACTGACCTGGCTGGAGCCTATAGGAGCCTCTCCATGTGTTCCCCGGTGGAAAGCAAGTGGTGGGGGAAAGGCAACTGGCAGCAGGGGCAAAAGGCAAATGGGGAGGAAGGGGACCAGCAGTGGCAGCAAAAGGCAAGTGGGGGGGAAGGAGACCGGTGGTGGCGGCAAAGGCAAGTGGGGGGGAAGGTGACCAGAGCTTGCAGAGTTTCACTCACCTAGTGAGATCAGTAAAGGCAGGGCTGCAGCGGAAGGCAATGGCTGGCCTAGTGGGTGTGCAAGAGGAGGCTGCAGGCAGCAGTGTTGCGCATGCGTGCAATGTCGTGCATGTGTGATAAGGACTGATGGGCAGGCAGCGGAGAAGTGGGTGGAGAAGGGTGGGGCCAGCCAGAGGCCCGATTTACCAGTTCTCCGAACTACAGAGAATCATAACAACTGGTTTTACCAATCCAGTCCGAACTGGTAGAATCCCACCCCTGAGCCCATGTCACTGTCAATTGACTCTAGGTGGCTTACAAACTTTATAAAAACCAAAGGTACAAACCAATAAAATATTAAAATGAACAGAGATTAAAACTAAAATATTGCGGGATGGAGTGAGATCTTCTTCCTAATCCACTAACAATCTCCAAGATGGAACGCCCCAATTGGCAGAGCCAGTTTTCTTATGAAAGGCCAAGAGGACCTCACCTCAAAGGGCACGATGTTCGAGAGGGCAGCAGCCAGGAAGAAAAGGCCCTTCTCCTGCACCTCTGAATATTGTTTCAGAGGTAAAATGAGGTAAAATTCAGATTCAGGAGCCAGATTGTTGGGGGCAATTCTTTGTAAACTGCTTAGAGAGGGCTATAAAGCACTGTGAAGTAGTATATAAGTCTAGTGCTATTGCTATTGTTACCATGCAGAGATAACTGATTAACAAGCAAATGTCTGAAAGCTATCCAGTCATCTTTAAGCTGAGTTTTAATTGAAAAATAGGAAGTGATCGAAAACATATATTCTTGACCGGTTACTGATGCCTCAGAAATTCAGCCTAAAATGAACAAGAAAATAATAACTTTGAAATAATAGCTTTGAAAGAACGGCTAATGGAAATAGACACCTCAAGATAATCCAGTTGTGTTCAGAAATAGGGGGATTTATATTGCACAAGTGTTTTACATGACGAAGAAAATGAATTATACTGCTTTGTAGTATGTTGATCTATACTTCTCCTAGATAGGATATTTAGAACAAACGACCCAGATTTAATTTTGAAAAACATAGAATTCTGTTTCATCGCATGAAATTTATTAACCAATTTCAATGGTTGTCTTTGAATTCTGGAGTTGTAAGAAAATAATTTTACTTTGAAATTTACATTGAAATTTTACTAGTGTATAAATATGTGAGGAGAATGTAGATTATAATCATTTATTTTTCTTCATAGAGCCAGAAGATATAGCTCAACATTCAGTTTGTTCCATAAAAGAAATAACTAGGTGAACATGGCAGTTCTATCCTTGGCTTTTATGTATTTAATGAAATTTCTAACACACTCACCCTTATCTTAATGGACTCTTGGCTATGAAGAGAAACAAACACTGGATAATAAATAAACCTAGTAAAATCAGTTTCTGCTATTAACAATGTCAATAAAATATATATTACAATTCTTTTTAGAAAAGTTGCTGACCTAGATCTAATCTGGTAATAGGTAGGTTGATTAGATTCAGGATGGCTTTAGAAATCTGGTGACCTGGTTTCTTTCTTTTTCCAAGACTGATAGATAACTCTGTGTGACTTATGAAGAGATAATTTGAATTGTGAGCACTTTTCCCTGCTATATATTTGCATTATTGCAATCCATTGGATAGAGATACTGAGACATAAGGTCAGTTGTGCAAGAGAGTATTCCAAGGCCTCAGGAAAATTATCAACTAAATTGAAAATACTGATGAAAGCTGAATGTTTTAGAATCTCACCAATATAATATAGAGGCAGTGGGAAGATTTCATTACTGTCAGAAGAGGAAAACACCCATTTTTGTCAAAGGTAGTGTGTGTGTGTGTGTGTGTATCGTGTTTCTCCAAAAAGATGACCCACCTTGAAAAGAAGCCCTATCACATTTTTGAGCGCATGTGATCAAATTAAGCACCACCCACAAAATTAGCCCTAATTAAGACCCCACACACCGTGAGGTGCAGGGTGTGGGGCAAGGCGTACAGGTAAAAAAATAAGGTAAGGTGGGGATGAGGGGGTGGAGTTGCCCTATTAAAATAGATTAAAATAAATATGTTATCTCTTAATAGACTTTGCTGAGTCTACCAAGTCTGAAATAATGATACTTGTGGATGGAGGTGTTTATAGATAAGAGATGGGATATGGGAAGAAAGAGATCATTTGTTGCATTTTAAGAGTGATGTTACTAAAATAGTTTATACTTATTGTGATGAAGGTGGAATCATTCCTTTATATATATATTTTCTATGTACTTTTCTTTTTGTTTTCCTTCTTTCTTTTTATTCTATTGGTTTGTATTAGTGTTCATTGTTTTAATTATAAACTTTAATAAAATTCCTATTAAAAAACCTAAGACATCCATGAAAATCATCTTCCTTGTGAGGAACAAGGCAAAAATGAGCACAACTGATAAGTCAGATAGGATTTATTCATGGTGCACTATTGCCATAGAAGCTTGTTAATCTAATTCTGAATTATGTTCTGTGGAAAGTGAGGCCTTTTTTATTATTTTAAATGATTCCCATGGATAATGTAAAAAGCATCTTTTAGTGTATTATTGGTTTGACACCTCCTGGAATATGTCCAAGCATTGACCATAATTAATAAATCAATACTTTGGATATTAGTGAATTAGAAGAATGAATACATTAGGGATCAATCAATCAAATCTGAATTCACCTGAGTAAACCCCCACACAATCCAATTGACCCAAATACTATAGTTGAAGTTGAAAAGCATTTTTGTGAATCAAAAAAGGAAGCCAATCCCTTTTATTTTGTTTGCTCTTGTTTTGATGACTTAGGGTACAGTATATATAATTTATTTATTCCCAATGTTTCCTAACTTGTATCAATGGTTTTAAAAGAGTGGAAATTGCTACTGAATCTCATTCTCCCATTATTTTTCATATGCAGAATTAAATTGGAGCTTTGTTGAATATTCAGGTTTTAGTAAAATTGAATAGATAAAGACCATCATTCTACTGAGATTATACAGATGTGAGGAATGCTGGCTCCAGGCAGTTTTATATTCAGTTGGGCATTGATATCAATTAAAAATGTTCACTACCCTGCCCATTAGCACACTTAATGGAAGAGTAAATGAATGAGAGCATTATTGAAAAAAAGGAACATGGATAATTACCATAGAAACAATTCTGATCTGTGATTTTAATGCACACATGTATGTTTTCAATATTGTACTCCTTATATTTAATATTGACATTTATTACTTTAAATGTTTGGTTTTATTTACAAAATATTAATAGACTAAGCAATGTCCAAGGAATTGAAGATTTTTACAATCAATTGATAATTGTTAGCTGGTCTGAGAATACAAATGAGAGAGATAGACAGATCTGCACTTTTTAAAACCAGATGTGAGTCTTGGAGGTTCTTTGGTTGGGCTCTTTAGCTTGTTTGGCAATTCTTTGATTTTGGTATTGTTTGCTTCTTGTTTGTTGGTCTGATATTAATCTTGGGTATTAATTTATGCTCATCTGGGTATTGATTCTGGTATGGAGGTAGTTTGGTCTTTTTGGATTAATGATTGTCTTTTTTGCACGGAATCTAGATATTGTTTATGTCTGTGTGTATCAATGGCCATAATTTCTCTAGGCATTACATTATAATTATATTTACTTTCCACATAAATATTACTCTTTGGTTACTGTTGTGGTATGTGCAACATTATAGTCAAAGAAAGTTGAAATGACCTGCATATGCTTCTCAAGGTTAACAATATTTATTATGCTTGTGTATAATCATCATGACATATGTCAGATCTGATTACTTTGATGAAAATACTTGGCCTTTTGCTGCCTCAACTTGAAGTATCACCATATTCTATAATGGCTAATGCAATATATAGAATTATCAATCATCTTTGCATTGATTAGAATTTTATTTTTAAAAAATTATAGAACTTTTTAAAGGTAATGTATGTCAAGAAGTAATGGAAACCGTGATCTGGTTCCCTATATATAAGATTTCCTTATAGACTAGAATACTAATTTGCAAGATCTGAATTCTGAGATTTTGAAGCTATTTGAACATTTCATAAGCATAATTAAAGAGCATATTTTTTCTTTTCTATTGAAACTTTTATTCCATAATTTCATATGTAACAAAGTTCGGAGATTGTTACTTCCTCAGTTAATCAACCAGTTTTCTTTATTTTCTCAAGATTGTTGCCTTATTCCATAATTATTCATTTCTGCCTTACTAGGCTTTATCCATTATTTAGCAGCAGGGTGTTCTAGACTTCAGGAGAGTCTAGTTTATCATCTATCTATGGCCAGTGAACTTATTCCAGGTTTTTACTTCAGAGAATGGATGTTCCTAGCAGTGATGGGATTCAATTTTTTTTTACTACCAGTTCTGTGGGCATGGCTTGGTGACATGGCAGGAGAATGATACTGTAAAATCTCCAGATTTTGCTGGTTCTCTGAACTACTCAAAATTTCCACTACCGGTTCTCCAGAACTGATCAGAACCTGCTGAATACCACCTCTGGTTCCTAGTGTGGTTGAATGTTTAATAATATCTAGTTCTATCCAGTTCATTTCAGAATCTAGATGTAATTCCAAAGCTTTAAATCATGTGTGTTCAAGAGTACAAAATTTACCAACTGAATTTGTCATTTCTTAATTTTCTCATGGAATGTCATTTTCAGAATCAGAACAGGTAGTGTTGCTGACATCTATTTCAAAAAGATGTTTTAGAATATAGAAATATGTTTAGCACATTCCACTTGTAAAATGTATCATAAAGTAGTAATATTTAAAATAGGTCATAAACACACACAAAATTAGCAGACAGAAAAATTAACAAAAATGAAGACATATGGATGCAGATAGTTCAGAGAGGTACCACATCTATATACTATATACTGCAAAGAGACATATGCAAGTAGTTGCTCTCCCCAAGAACACACACATACACACATGTAATTTACATACACATATAGACACCCACACAACTTCTTCTCTGCCTTATATTACATATGCACAAAAGCCTTCAGATTTGGTGACAAAAGTGCTGTGTTCTCTGTAGCATAATGGTTTACAACCCCTTGAGGAACGAATGATTTACTAGTTTTTTTTTCTTTTCCATCTAAGATGTGATGACACTTCCATCCCTAGCCGTAGCAGCACCGTGGCTTCTTTTCCCTTTAACAAACAGAAAGAACAAGTCTTGGGGCTCACCCTTCTTTCTACTCCTACCAAAGCATAGCACAATTGAAGGCTGTACCACAAGACTAGTGGGAAGATCCCCCTGGTCTTTTCCACTGCATAGCCTTCTCCATCATGTATTTGCAATAGCAGTCAATTACAGTGTTTGCTACTACTGCCGCCCATTTCTCACTTCTTCTATTGTGGCTTTGTTAGCCGTGTCCACAATCCTTCTGCTGAGGTGTGAAGCAAATCCTCTCTGTGGAGGAAAAGAAATGCAACTAAGCAAAGACTAAGAAGACAAATTTATTCCAGCACTGATTTTTCCAGTTTACTAAAGAGAAATTTATATTTAGTACCCAGTTTGTACTGCTTGCATGTTTACATGACCTAGAATGAAATTGTTGATTGAAATACCTACTTGGTAGAATTTTGCACTCTCCTTTGTATTCTTAAAGGAAATGTACAGGAAATAATATTCGATATACAGTTGTATATTATCTTCATATAATTGAGGAAATGGTGCACAAAACTGCACAAGGCACTTGGCAAAATTGAATATTAGAAAATATGCACATAAAATGTATACATAAGAGAAAATTGTCATTTACCGGTAAATGTGTGAAAATATACTTTTAATTAATAAATATAAAACTGAAAAGTTAAATATTATTAAACTGACCACCAATTAGTCATACACAATCATGCCTAATTTTAGGCTACAATATAAGTCTGAGAGCTGACTTTTTAGACATTACCCAATGTTGCTTATACCTCACAACAATGTTCATTGAGTGACCAAATATTTTTCTCCTTTTTATGAAGAATAATTTAGCATCAAATCCTGAAGTGTTTTTGCTCAGTTTTAAGGGCTTTCTTCTTTTTTCTTAAACAGGATGTTTTTCAGGAGACAGTGGACATTTTCTGGCAGTTCATCAGAGGAAGAATTGGAAGCCAATGTTCATTTATCATCGTGCACAAAGTATTGAGAAAAGTTTGGATACCAGTGATCAGAAGAATTATAGAAAAAATTTCCACTTGCCTTCCCATGTAAAAATAGGCAAGTTGCATCCTGCAATCATAGTTAAATCAGCATTCTCCAGACCAGCATTTGACCCAAGTCTCAATCTCCTAGCTATGACTGGGGAGCACCAGGAAGTGGAAAACCTGCCCATCCCAGCAGCTAATGTGATCACTATGGTAAGAACCTTTGCTCTTCTAAGGCACTTTAGTTTCTTAAATCATAGCTCAACTCAGGAATGCTTAGTCCCAACTTTCTGAAACAGGTACTCAGTAGATGCACAAGGATGGTACTGTAGGAAACCTCAGCCAATATTGTCTGAACATATATGAATAGTAGCAAATTGGGAAAGCCTGTTTTACCATGTTCTTGGTTTCCAGAATTCTAATGGAAACTTTCTGTGAGGAGTATGTTTGAGGAATTGAGATCTGAGGTTTCTGCACATGCACGCGCATACACACACACACACACACAAATACACACAATAATTCAAGAATTGACAGCTAATTTATTCTGAAATCCACTTTAAAAAACCTCTCCAAAGTTTATAGTGAACATGGTCAAATATAGCATGAATGAAATCCAAATTCGGCCCTTTTTATTATTATAGGTTTTGGTTGTTAAGGAAATTCTTTTCCAACGAAAGAAAGAAAGAAAGAAAGAAAGAAAGAAAGAAAGAAAGAAAGAAAGAAAGAAAGAAAGAAAGAAAGAAAGAAAGAAAGAAAGAAAGAAAGATGAGAAGGATACATTAGGCCCCCAATATGTTTGATGTTTAAAAGAAAATAAAATGATTTGGCTCCATTTTGGTGGTGCATTCCTGGGGGTTCTCAGCTGTCATATTAAATATCTCAATAAAATAATGTAGAACCCTTGTTAGTATAGTCTCAAATATTCCATGATGAATTACCAAATTTGTCCTTGAAGAGACCATTTGTGAATATGAACTAAGGCTCTGCTTGTAGGTTACAGGAAAGATCCCATCTATCCCATCTTAGCTATCCTAAACTATATTCATTTTTATAAGCTTAACATATTTGCATTAATTATACAAATCTCTATGTCTCAAGGGTAGTATGGAAGCTCCTTGCAATGGTTTGAATCTTTCCAAGTGAATTTTATCATATAATTTTTACCTGAAGCCCAAATTCAGCTTATTTATAGTAATTATTTTCACATAGCCACTCTATTCAATCTCCATTAAATACCTAGTAGGAAACTTGAATTTCTGTTTTTAATGCTTTTGCACAAAATAGTGACTCTGATTAAAATGACTCCAACTGAGAACCATATGGGCAGTTTGGCTGGGCATAAGACTGTGAATTATGAATCCGGAGAGGATCATTTAATAGTGTTCACAGTCTTTTATCAGTATATATCTGTGGGCCACTGTTCTTTTTGCCTTGCTTCCCTCGGATGGAGAAAAACATCATTCCAAGCTTAATTATAGGAGGGTCAGCTGTAACCTGGCTAATAGTGCCTCTGGGAAGCCTTAAGAGAATTTTCATCAGTGGGGTTTCTCCTATATCCAGGAGAAGCTTTCATCCTTCAGGCACTTTTAACAAATTTGGTTTTGAGAGCAGTTTCTTCTTCTTCTGTGTATCAAAAATAACTTCAGTTTAAAGCTTTTATAGAATGAATCCACATTTATTCCTGCAAAAGGAGAGCTCTACTGTTCTCTTCTTTCTGATTGTTTCTAGTTTGGTATTTTGGGGATAATGGAAATAACTGATTTTGGTTATCAACGTTTGTTTTTCAGGACCTTCTCATGAAAGAGTTCTTTCCTCTGAGATCTTTTGGAAAATTGTATTATTTTCCATCATTGCAGGACAGGGTGGGAGTGCACAATCTTTTGATGTTTCACAGCCATAGTGGGCAAAGTGAGGTCATAGAGCAAGCAGGGTTGCAACATACTTATGAGGGGCTAGAATTTTGTTCTTCTGTTTGGTGGTGATATATATGAGGCATATTTTTATGTCTTGCTTTTTCAGCCTCACTAGGGAATGGGAAACTGAAATTCATTGTGGTTAGATAAGAGCCTGGGTTGAAAGCTTACCATTGATCTCTGAGGTTGCATATTGCTCAACTCTATCCACATAATTGATTATCCTGTATTTCATAGAAGGATTTCTTCAAACATAGATATTTGTATGTGCTTGTATGTATTTATGTAATAGATTCTATGTGTAATATATATAATCTGTGATGATACACAGATAGATACAGAGAGAGGGGGGGGGGAGAGAGAGAGAGATTAGATTAGATGTTTTAAAAAAGAATTCCCTTTTCAACCTTATGTGTGGTATGCATCTTCCTCAGTCTTGAGTCCTCTACCATAGGCCTGAGAATTTGAGTGTTCTGCACAGGACCTGTAAAGAAGAGATCACTGTGATGTAATTCCTGGGATCTATTGGAGCTATTCTCCCACTTTAGGATTCACAGCTCTCATCACCACTGGAACCACTTTGGCCTTTACTTTCTAAATCATCTCCAGTTCCTCCTTCAGGCCTGGAACTTCTCCAGTTTCCCATACACCTTCCTGATGTTGCTGTCAGTTGGCACTGCTACATCTATTACCACTGCTATCTTCTGGTCTTTGTCTACTATCTTGATGTCTGGTTGATTGCTTCAGGGACCACTAAATTCATAATTTTAAATCCTGCGGACTCCCAGTGATGGGATGGGGTCCTTCAAGCACTTAGCTTGGCCACCTGTTTCTGCAACCTTAAACACTCAAAAAGCAATTTGGACCCATTTCCCACAGAAAATAAATCACCAGGATCTCACATCTCTCTCTCTCTCTCTCTCTCTCTCTCTCTCTCTCTCTCTCTCATTTCTCTCTGTATCTCTTTCTATCTATCTCATCTCTCTCTCACACCCACACCCACACCCACCCATACATACACATCTCTATCTCATCATTCTCTCTCATCCCTGTCTCATTTCTCTCTCTCTCTCTCATCTCTCTCATTTCTTTCTCTCTCACCTCTATCTCTTTCATCTCTCTCCCTTCTGTCTGTCTCTCTCTCTTTGTGTCTCTGTTTTTTTTCTCTCTCTCTCTCTAGCTCTCTCATCTCTTTTTTCTCATCTCTCTCTTTCTCATTCTGATTCTCCTGCGTTCTCTGGGTCTCGCGGTTCCTTCTTTGGCCTTTGTTGGTGCTGGATGCATCTTGGTTGCTCTGGAAGATGCATGACCTGCTCTCTGCCCTGAGACACTTGCCCGACCCGGCTACAGCCAATGCTCTGCATCATAATGAGGTCCAGGAAGAGGAGGGGACACCATCTCCCCCATTATGAAGTGCACTAAATTTAACTGCACTGTGCAAGGCACTGCAAGAGCAGCAGGCAGGCAATGGAGGCGCCAGCAGCAGCAGGCCAGAGAGAAATGGCCAGGCTGGGCCAGTGTCTTGGGGCAGAGAGGAAGTTGTGCACCTCCCTGAGCAGCCAAGGTGCACGCCGCACCAACAAGGGCCAGAAGAAATTCCTGTGGGACTCAGCAAGAGATGAAGCTTGGCTCCCACTCTGAAATATGGAGTAAATCTCCATTCCCCACCCTTACCTTCTCAGGCCAATTGAGGAGTGAGTGGGAGGGGAGGGTGAGGAACTGGGCCAGCCAGTAGTGGGATCATCTGACAGGAAGCCACAGCAGGGGGACAAAAGAGCCACCAGTTGCTGATACCTGTTGCTTCAGCCTGCCTGCGCCACCACCCCTCCTTGCTGCAACAGCACCCTTGCCTTGTTCCAGCCAGTGAGGGCTGGGCTACTCCTTGCATGTTCACCACCTGCAAAGTTGCAAGTTGAATGTACCTCCCTTTATGGTAGAGATTTCCAGCCCACCATGAGCTGCCTGGCCAGTCCCATATTCCAGAGCTCTAGTCACAGGACTGGCCCATTGGTCATCCCGGAGCAGCTCCTCCACCTGGGTGCACTGCAAAGCACCAAAACTCTCTCGCAGACCACTAGTGGTCCATGGACCACTGGTTGGTGACCTCTGGATTGGTTAGTACCTGCCTGTCTGTCTGGAATTGGAAATCCCACAGTATCTTAGCCCTCTTATTTTCCATAACTTTTTGTGGGATCTCGCATCTTCAGATAGCTCAGCTTAAGGCTCAAACAGACTTCTCTGGCACTGCATGTGAAGGAACATATGCATCTGTCATTCAGGGATGGTTGCTTAGGTGTTCCTTTTATGTTTCAGTTAATTTTAATGCTCTAAGGGGGCCCTCAAACAACAAAGAACATCAACCAATCAACATGCCGGGCACACACCCCTGCAGTTGGAATTTGGGAGGTATTTGAGTCAGCTGAACTGAAGCCCTGTGCAACCTCCACTTACCCATCAACCCCTTCCAGCGTAGGTATATGGCAACAGCTATGGGCAGTTGCAGATACCTCTAAATTAGCCTTTCCCCAAAAAGTTTGCTATGAGAATAAAATGAGAGATTTGGTGGGAGGGATAACATACACATTGTTCTAAACTCTTTAGGAAAAGGATGGAATAATAAAAGAACAACCAGAGCAACCATAATAAACCCTTGATGGGATTTTGTGCTTTGGACCCAAAAGATTTTAATTCACAGTCTACAGCAGGGGTGTCAAACTCAAGTCATCGTGGTGGTGTCGTGTCAGAACTTTTTTCCTGTTCACTAAACCGGGCATGGGCGTGCCGCATCCGGTCCGTGGGCTGGGAGTTTGACAGCCCTGGTCTAGAGTAAAATGAGTTGCTTTGCCTATTCAGACCTAAGTGGAGGGATTCCAAGCCTGATTGGGCATGCTAGTGACTATCAGACTGAAGTGAGCATGGGACAGGAGAAAGGTCTCAACTGAAGTGAAAGCCTTGGTTTTTATCTTGAGAGTTATTCTTACACAGGCAACCCAAGAAAACAGTTAGAAAGGATGATGGTTGCTATATAATTACATTTCTTGAATTTCTTATGACAGATTAGGGTTGCCTAGATTTACAGGAGTCTCCAACCTTGGCAACTTTAAGACTTGTGGACTTCAATTTCCAGAGTTCCTCAGCCAGCTTTTACTCAGCAAAGCTGAGGGGAGCTGAAGTCCACAAGTCTTAAAATTGCCAAGGTTGGAGACCCCTGGCCTAGAAAATATTGTTTTTCTCTCTCACCTAACCTTTTTTTAGAGAACAAGACCCTGAATTCAATTTAGGTTTTGATTTTTGAAA